GGCCCGTGGGCCTCCCATTGGGGCCGCCTGTCCCTCCCTCCCACGGCGTCGTCGTCGGGCCGCAGCCCCACCCACAGCCGCCGGTCCCGCTACCCCACATGCCCGTCCCGGTGCCGGTGCGGCTGCCGCCTGGGGCCTCACCGGGGCTGATCTACGACATCCTCTGCGGCCTGCACGACGAGGGAAAGGAGCGGGGGGCAGCACCGGGGAGGCCCGTCGCTGGGGCGGAGCACACTGCCTCCACGCCGAATACGGAAGAGGTGATGCCGCCGGGGTGGGAAAAGGTGAGGTATCGCGGTACGGTGGTGTATGTTGACCATGTGAGTCGAGAGGCACATGAGGAAAAGCCATGGGAAGTGTGGAGCCGCCGAGCGAAGGCCTGATTAGACAATGAAAAGTTGTCAATATACATATATGAATTTCGGATTCTTCACTCCATCGAATGAAGATTTAGTTGCGATAGTATATCTCAATACAAACTGTATTCATGTTATTGGGATTCACAACAGCTACGGATAGAATGCGTCGGTTAATGGATTGGCTGTGCAGCACATCGTAGCCGAGGTGCATTTAGAGGTAAATATTCAGTTGAAAGGAAAAGACAATCCAATTTTCTGGTTGTATGCGATCAAGCACATTAACAAATAAAGTGGGTGAACTATTCCCATATTGTCGAAAATATTTATGCGCATTAATTCATTTGAGTTTATTTCGTAAACCACTTGTATAAAATGAGGCAATATATATATAATAATGTTTCACTTTACCCAAGGAAACATGTCAAGAATTAAGAATTCCGTTGTCGATACTCCCCTTTTGGTGTCGTAAAACTCTTGCTTGCTAAATATTTGCTTCACATTTCTCCTTTACTCTTCTCCATGTGAAACTAATCCATGCATTCTAAGCAGCGCTTACAAAAGGAAATATTGACAAAGTATTCACGTGTGTATATGAGTGCAAGCTATTGCAGCTGGATGATTGCAGAAGTTACCTTAAAAAAACTGGTTCCTTTGTTTTGGGTTGACTTTATTTCTTCTTGAGTGTGCGCTTGCTTGAAGGAAATCGAAAATTTTATCACAAAATAAAGGTCACAAGAGTAGATATAAATAGCAAGGATTTTTTTAGAGAGAGAATCGTTAGCCTCAGATATTCTTCGGGCAAAGAACACCGCCCCGGCGCTAAGTATTCTCTTTATTCTTCTTCGAAGAATAACAATATATATATATATATATATATATTAGCATTACTAATACGTATTTTTCATTTGAAAATTATTTCTTGTTTTACCTACTTTAGTCATTTGAGTAGGCCTCACAGGTGTTTGGCTTTACTTTTTTTTTCCAATTCAGATTGTGTCTAAGTGTTGAAAATATACTTGGGAACTCATCAGTGGTAGCAGAAAGGCGGTGGCGAGTGACGGGTGCAACGATTTCCCACGACTCTTTTGCCCCTCACAAGAAGCATTACTCGCCTTTCCTAGTGCATCACATTCTTAACCTCCTTAAAATAGAAAAGTGATGATGATCAGTTTTAAAAAAATTGCCGAGTTTCTTAAAAAGGTGGGTAGTCGGGACACTTCCGCACCTTCAGGAAAGGATGCAAAAAATGCTAAGAACACCAGCAATGCCACGACAGAGGTACCCTCCGCGTTCGCAGACAAATCTATCCCAGTTAGCAATGTCCTTAGAGGTCTCCCACCGAACGCATCAAAACAAGCGGTCCTGCTACATATTCAAGCGATGGTCGAGAAGCGTTTCCGAGTCGCTAAAAAATCTAGGCTTTTCTTCACTCAGGACAAATTCAGTCGTCGGACCTCAGTGATGTTCTTGGAAGCGGAGACACTGCAACGGCGAGTGTCCTCATCAATTATCTCGCTCACTGGTGATGCGTTGATTAAAGGCTCAAGTCCTGTTGCACAAGACTCTGAATTTGGAAACGCAACGGCAGCGTCGCCCTGCGCGAGCAGTCATCACCAACATCAAGAAAACGTCGGGCCGACGCTGACGGATACATCGGCGCGCCATTCTCCTCATGCGAATTCGGTGAAGGGCGGTAGTGGCTCACTCCATGGGGAGCTCACTACGCCCGCATCGACGACCGTAGGTGCGGCGGAAGGGATTTTGCCCTTGCCTGGCCAAGTGGAGGATATTAATGCGTTGACGACGTCTTTGGATCAGGAGCGGGCGGAGCTCATCGAGGCACTCGATGTGTGTTTGCAGGAGGTGCCCGAGATGGATGAAATGGAACTGCATGAACACATACGGCAGTGCATAGCCAAACGCGACGCAGGCTTCAGGAGTGGAAACAGGAGCCCCTGCCCAGAGATCCCGGACACACCCTTTCATAGTTCAGATCTTCAGTCACCTGACGTCGCCCATTCGATGAAAGATGAGCAAACAACCACTACCGAAGATGCCCACCCCTGTAATGAGATTCAGGGCAGCGACGGCCCTGCTAATGATGAAAATGTGGGGGTGGTGGATCCGATCGGAACGCAGCAATCCTCATCACACGAGTCTCACTTCAAATCCGACTCAGAGATCGTGACGATCTACGAGTGGCGCCAGCTCCTGTTGTCGCTCGTAGAGCTTCTCATTTATACTGAAAGCGACATTCTCTACCAACAGGCTTTCTATACGCAACGAAAAGGAGAGGAACAGGAGAACATCATCCTCGTTCAGCAGCTGCAGCAAATACGGGCAAACCTATTGCCTGCCGCGGCGGAGTCCGATACACCTTTACCATGTATCTCGCCCGAAAAGCGCGGGGGTAGTCAACAGCAGGTGCGGCATGCATCTGAAACACCCACGGCGGCAGTAGACGAGCGTGCTGATGCGCCTTCATCGACCGCGCGGACTCCCCCGACGGGGCCTGCGCAGCACCAACCCCCCCCACCACCACACGGCTCTCCCGTCGCTGCGCGGGCAACCCCTTTGTCATCTGCTGATACCACCGCGAAGGTGAAAGCCGCCGAACAGGAGATGACGAAAAGCATCAATAAAGTTCTCAGCTCCGCCTGCTCGCTGGCGACGTGGATCGTCCTCCGTTCGATGCTTCAACAACACATTCTCCGCTTAGAGACGTCCGCGATGGAGGCGTTGCCGTCGCAGGAGGCTGGCGTGTTGAAACCATCCGACAGGGTAAGCGAGGAAAAAGACAAGGAAAGTGGGAAGTTCGATAGCAAAAGCACGGAGTCCTCGGGCGTCATGGCTGCCGCGGCGGTCCCCTCTCAGCGAAAGGTCCTAACGGTGGACTGGCCGGAGGTGGTGAGCAATCTGCGGGAGCTCCTGTATCCGTTTGGACCCTCCATGGCCGAGTGCGTCCTCTGCGCGAGCTTTTTGCGGGATGACGGGTTGGAGTTGATGATGTGCATGCTGCAGGAGCCCTACGCGCGGGCTTTGATCGAGCCGATCCTCACCAGCGACGAGCGGCGACGGCAGCAGGGCGTGTTTCTCAACCGTGGCCATCCATCGGGCGCGAATCCGCCCGAGGGCGGGGTCGTCCACGCGCCAAATCCCCACCTCCCTGCAGGAAACGCGAGTGGAGGAGGGGGAAGTGGAAGTGGAAGCGGCGGAGGGGGTGCCAAATCCGCCGCAGGGCCTTCGGCGATCTTCCCTCCGCCCGGGCGCGGCGGCCTCGGGCTCCCTCCACCCCTCCTCGTCACCACCCCGGCCCCCATCCCAGACGGCCCCACCCTCGACGATCTCCTCGCCGAGGTGGAGCTCGCGTACAAGGAAGGGGTCCTGAAGAGCTGGGCGGAGTACCTCAAGCACAGCCTTTACGTGCGGGATGACGACGACGGGCGATCCGCCGTAGGGGCCTCCGTTGCGGCCCCCATCCCCCTCACGACGGCCACCCAAGTCGCGTTGGATTCGACCGAGGACAAAACCGCCAAAAGCAGTTGGGAGATGCCTTCCGGCACGCAGGCTCAGGATGGGTCGATTACCACTATCGACTGTGGGAGCACCTCTGAAGAATGCGATTTAAAGGGCTTACTACTAAATGTGAACGATGCGGTGATTTGCCAGCTCGCCACGGCCTTCTTTTTCTGCTCCGATGAGTGGAAAAGTGAGTGCCGGAAGGCACGCTTTGCTTTTCTGCATTTTTGCATGCATAAGTCTGCACAGAAAAGGAAAGCCGCGTTCGGGCAGGGGCATGTCGTTGCTAGTCTACACGTGAACCCTGAGAAACCACACCCACTACCTATAGAAGACGAGCTTCCATTGGCCTCGAAGAGTGCGGAGGGCTTCACAACAAACCACCAACTCTCTACCTTTGCTCCAGAAGATGATGTATCATTGCAAAATTCTTCGAAAAACGCTGCCGAATATAGCAGTCTCACGGAAACCAGGAACCTGCTTGAGGCGTCTGGATCCCCAGAGCTGGTGAATATCATCTGTGAAAGCAGCCCTGCTTTGCCTTCCACCTTATCGTTTGCTTTATGTAATCCCTGTGCAACAGCGACCGTAGAACCTGGAACTGAAGGCTCCGCTTTTCTCAAGAATGTTAACACCACCAAAGCCCACCACAGTCCCGTAAGTTTTAGTTCTCGAAGCATTCCCGGGTACCAGCCCGAACAGCCCACCTTGTACTCCGTTGGTAAGGAAATGCTAGCGCGGATAACGAAGATGTCGTGGGCGGCCGCACTACACAAACGTGTTGAGCATTGTATTACCGATCAAACACCCGCCCTCGAGGTTGCAAACGCGTACGCGCGGGAAGAGCGCCAGGTTTCCGGGATGCTCAGTAACTTTCGTGCGCGTCAGCGAGCGCTGAACTCCATCCTTAAATCCCACCTGTCAGCCGGTCGCTCGCACGAAGCCCTCGCCATCGCGAACCGGCATTTTAAAAACGAGCGCAAGGAGTGGAGTAGTCGGGCGCAGACTATCTTCTCCGCGATGCAGTACCTTCAGTCAATGGTGCAGCTCGTGCAGGCCCAGGCGGCATGTCATGCGTATGGGGCCGTGATCGAAACCGGGCAATTCGTGCTCCTTCAATGCAGCCTGTGTGAGCAAATGCTCCAGGTGATCTCCCCAAAGCCAAGAGGGGCCTTTATCCTACGCTTCGGCAACCCGCGTGTGAAGCTGCTCAATACGAAGGTGTACCTAACGAGGGAGCTGTGGTATTCGTACGCGATGTTCAATAATCACGCGCGGGCGGAGAAGCTTTTTGATGAGTGCATCAAAAACATCCTCCAGCTACGAAAGAAACTACGCGAAGACGAGCTCTTCGACGCCCTGATGAAACGTGGCAAGCAACTCATGAACATGAAGGAGTTCCACAGCGCGGTGGAGCTGTTCAAGCAGGCCGTCAACATCTCCGCGGCGGCGTTGAAAACGGCCCCTATTCCCCACACCGGCGGCGGGATGGCAAACCCAACGAACCCGAATCCCCCTGTCGGTGGGGGAGCGGGGGTGGCTGGGGTAGGACCCCCGCCAAACAACCCCCCTATCCCCCCTCTTCCCCCTCCCACCAGTGGGAATGCCGCGTGCGATGGGACGTCGGGGAATCCCTCGGGAGGAGGAGGAGGAGGAGGAGGGGGGGGGGCCGCGCTTCCGGTCCCGGCGAACGCGCGGGTCGCGTCCACGGCGTTTAGCGTGAACCTCCACCTCCATCGCGCCGGGTCCTCGGACCCGAGCAGCGCGGACGAGCACCCGCCGATCATCCTGAGTCGCCACGACGAGGCCGGCCTTGAGCTGGCCTGGCGGGCCGCCGAGAGCCAACGCATGCTGGCCCTCGCCTTTGTGACCCAGGCCGAGCACGAGGTCAACGTCCAGGCCCGTCGGGTGCAGCTCAGCAACGCGGTCAACAACGCCTACGCGTCGCAGGCCTCCCTGCAGCGGTGGCAAGCGAACGGGGGGACGCCGAAGCGGATGCTCACCGCCGTCCCTTCCAGTCTGATCGTGATCGCCAAGGCGTTGTTGCTGCTCGGGCAACCCAAGAAGGCCGCGTTGTTGCTTGAGCCGTTGATTGAAACGAAGCCGAACGCGGTGTCGGCGTGGCCGCCGATGTGGGCGGAGATTCTGGATCCCACCACGGAACCGCTTACCGCCGAGGATATCGCGCTACGGATTTACGTGAACTCCGTTCGAATCGCCGTGTTTCAGCTCTACGGGCAATGCTTGAGTAAGTTTGACGGGGAGCGCGCGTTACGGGTGGTGGAGCGCACCCGGGCGTTACTGCATGAGAGCTTCTATTGGATGCATGTGGTTCGGAAAAAGATTTGCGCGAAACCGCCTCCTAAAATGGGGGGTAACCTATCTTTTAATTCATCCTCAAAGCAGAGGCTCGCCACCGACAAGGGGCCCTTGGGAGATAGTAAACACAGCGACCCTGTCGTTGGCACGACGTCGCCCGAGATCGTACGTGAGGTGGATTACCTCGACGGGATCGAAAATCGATTCACCGATATCGGTAGCCAGGCCCCTTCGAATCCAGAGGAAGGATTCACCACGGTGGACGTGCCAAACCTCACCAATATGGCGCATCCTCCGCAAAGTGGTGCCTCGGTGCAGGAAAATCTTCAAGCCATGGAGAATATCCCCGGCGATACCCAATGCGATAAAGTCAAGGATCTGTTTGAACGTATCAACGTGTACTTGGGCAGCAAGAGTGAGCGGGTGACGGCGCTCCGGGCGTTGCGTTCGGGCCGTCTGGACGTGCGAAAGGCGCACTGCGAATTCGAGATTACCGCGGGGGATACCCTGAGTTTGCTAGGTCGTTGGGAGGATGCCCTTGAGGCATACTTCCGCACCTTGGTGATCTGCATGAACGAAGATGAAGCCGCCGCGGAGGCGGCAAAACGTGGTAGATCCGTATCCGGCCGTGGCGGTGGTGGCCATACTACCGGCGCCACTGCCTCGGTTGGAACGGATACGACGAGGCCTTTTGTGGAGCACTCATCCGCACTCGATCTTGAGCTACTGGGAGAGCTCAGTCAAGAATTCGAAGAGGAAGAAGAGGAGGAGGAGGTCATCAAAGGGATTGGTTCGATGAATCTTTCAACCAGTACCGGGGCTAAGGACCTACGCGCCGTGATGGCGCGTGAGGAGCACATGAAGTACAAGGTGTGCGAAAACATGGCCCTTAGTCGAATCGCCAACGTCTACAAGGCTCTTGATAACCCCAAGATCGCCATCCACTACCTTAAACCCGTTCTGGAGTACGCGAAGGAAAGCAATAATGCGCTTCTGGAGTACCAATCGATGCTGTCTCTTTCCCGGTTATACACCATCACGGAGGCGCATGAGCTCGCGCAGGAGATGTGGGAACGGGTGAGCGCGTTTGCTAAGCAGTACGGGGATAAGGAGGTGAGCCGAGAAACCATGCGCAACATCGTTACGGTGCAGGAAGCCGCGAAGTTGTTTCCCGATGTCATCCGCACCGCGGAGGAGCTCCGACAGCTGGCGTCAGCCGCCGAAGGAAGCGACGCCACCGCGGACCTGCGGTACGCCTTGGAAGCCCTCGCCAACGCCCATCTCGAGCTCGAACACTACAAGGAATGCATTGAAGCCCTGGATGAGCGGGAGAAGGTGCAGGAAAAGTCGGGTGAATGGAGTGGGAAGTTGCTCGAACTTCGCGCACGCGCGCGGCTTGGGAACGGGGATACCACGGAGGCCATCAAAATACTCTCCACATGGGTGAACAAGGCGAAACAACTGCAGAATTGGTCAGAACTCGGGAAGGCAAACAGGGCGCTGGGGGCGGCTTATATCATTAAAGGTGATGCCTACGCCGCTCATCGCTACCACCTGGCCGCCCTCCAAAGCTTTTCCCTCCTCAAAGGGGATATCGCGCATCAAGACAAGCTTTGTGTGATTGAATCCGCCCGCTGGCTTGTGCATAACTACTATCTCAACGATGATAAGATGCAGGTCGATGTGGAGCTTCCGCAGCCGGAGAACTCCGGGAACACCCCCCCTGGGGTTGATGAACACGCTACGAAGAAGGTCATCAACGCCTCCATCTTTTCAGGCGGGGGTGAGGTCTATGAAAACGGCCTGCACAACCACAGTGGCGATCTCGACCAAATTTTAGAAGAGGATGAAAAGATGCGTTCTGGTTCTGGACTGATCGAGAATGATCCAAACTACCTAACCGACGATAACATCAACACGTTTCTGGATAGCATCCAAAACCACAGCTTCGTTGGGATGAACATGTATCTCGATAAGAGCAAAGATACGAGTGCGCGGACCTCGGGAACGACCTTCCCTGCTGACATCAACGTCCCCTTTAACAAACCCGAAAGCAACAGTGGGGAGTTATCCCCGCGGGAGAGCACCACGCCTTCTTCGATTGGAAATATGAGCGACGGGGATGGGGTGCGTGCGAATACGGACTCCCCGATCAACTTCGAGCTCGCCCCGCAGCCGGAGGGAACCGACAAGGAGGCGAGAACGCCCGCCGTGGATCGCGAGGGAAGAGCCATCAGCCACCCCCACCACGTCGATGGCGAGCCGCCCTTAAACCCTTCCGAAGAGAGGCCAAGGCCCTCCCTGATGACGCCCGCGCGAGCTCTCGCCGCGGCGCCGAGTATGACTTCCACGAATGTTTCCATGTGCAGCCGCCTGGCCGCGGCGATGGCGGGGACGGACGTGCTGAACGCGATCCCCGGCCCCGACGGGCATGGCGGGATTCCAACGGGAAAACCCACCACCTCCTCCGGGGGAGGCGCGCGTTCCACCGGCGCCTTTCTCACGCCGCTTCTTCCGGAAGTCTTTTCAAATCCGGCGGAGCAGCGCCGCGCCCGCCCCAGCACCGTCTCGACCCTTTGTTATTATCTCGCGTTACAGACGATGGAGTGGATGACGGGGTTGCTCTGCGGGGCGTGTATGTTCCCGCATTGTCGATCCGTGATTCCCTACTCGCCGGCGGAGCGGGTGGATCTCGCGTTGCTCACCCACCCCCGCTGTGTGTTTGTCTTCTTCTTCGCGGAGTACGTCACGGAGTCGAGCTCGTCGTATGATGTGATCATTCGCCCGGCGAATCACGTTCATTTCATGCATCGCTACGCGCAAGTTACCACGTTGAAGGAGTATTGCGACAAAAAACTCCTCACCAGAGTGGCGAAAAAAGCCGCCAAGCAGGTCGCCACCGGAACCGATGGTTCGCTCACCAGCACCCTCGATCGAACCACCAAAACGGTTCCCCTGAACTTAACGACGGAGCTCCTTTCGGGGGAGATCCCATCGAGGATGGAAAGCATGGGGTGCACGAACAAAAAAAGTAGTGCGGCGTGTGAAAGCATCATCGGAGGGAACGCGTCGGGGGTGAGCCCTGCGATCTTGGAGCGCGTCCTTGAGGATGAAACTCGGACGCAACTCGAGTATCTCTATGATGAGCTCTGGCGACCGGTCCAATCCTCCTTCCACCGCACGAATCTGAAGCTTTCGGATGCGGAATGCTTGATTATCGTCGCGGATCCTTCCCTTTGGCGGGTTCCGTTTCACGCGTTGTTGCCGAATCCGGAGAATCTCTTTCCCGGAGAAAGCAGCGAGCCGCTCGGGCAGCAGGTGACCCTCGTCGTCACCCCTTCCGTCGCGCATCTCGTGCAGTACGGCGTCTCCCGGCGGGAGCAGATCGCCCCGTCTTCCTCCTCCGCCTCCACCCTCAACCCCCCTCATAAACGGCAAAAAATCATCTTTCTACCCGAAGAAGAGGCTCGCGCGAATAATCGAAATCCCCATCTGCTGGAGCCCGAGCAGCCGCCATCCGGGGCGGCCTCTTCGCCTTCCGGGGGGGAGATTCCTCCCCCTTTAGGGGATCAGCGACCCTCCCTCACGGCGGAATCCCTCGCGGAGGGTGAAGGCGAGGATCCGTTCGCGCCCCTTCGTTCCGAATGGGCGATCCACGCGGGGTGCACGCGCAAGGAGCTCCTCCACGCCTTCGCCGATTCCGATAATCGCGTGATTATGGCGTTGAACACCCCTGTGGATGATCGGCTGAAGGTGGCGGATGGGGTGATTGGGCTTCGCGATTTAGCCTCGGCCCGGGCGCGGGAAGCCGGGGAGGGCGAAAAAGACAGCAAAGGAGGCGGCGGCGCCGCAGCTGGAGGGGGAGGGGGAGGAGGGTGTGCCGCGCACGGATTGCAGCACCTTCGACTTCTCGTCATGACGGTGGATCGCGGGGTATCCGCGAGCGTGACGGAGCCCGCCGGGGCGCTTAGCCTGTGCTTGAAACTTCGCTGCCCGCGTGCGTTGTTGCTGGATGTGATCACGGGAACGGCGATAAACGCGATGCATAAGGAGTTTCTCGTGCTGTATCTCTCGCATTTGGAGGTGGTGGAGCGGTGGGAGATGAAATTCCCTTACGCGCTCGCCCTCCGCATGACGTTAGGGAAGGTGATTGAGCGGGGGTGGCCGGTGACGGTGTGGGGGGCGTTTACCCTCATCGGCGCCCCTTAAGAAAATAAAGAGGAGGCTGAGAAAATTACCGCAGAAAGGGTTCCTCTAGACGGAGAGAAGATCGATTAGTGCCTTCCTTAAGGTACATCGAAGGCGAGTGGGTATTGGGAAGGGGGGGGGGGGGGGTGATTAGCCCACACTTATCAAAGATTCGTTTAGTAAAGAGACGTTCTTTTGAAAAATTTACCTGCCAGTATATGGTACGAATTGTCAAAAACAAATGTGCTTGATTCGTTTTAACATTTATTAGATTTTTTTTTTAGGGGAGAGAAGGAAGGCAATTCCTTGAATCCTATTCCTTACTCTGTTTTCGCACTAAATATATTTCTGTGCAAATGATACGGACACATTGTGGTGCTGTTCCTGATAATAACGTAAAGGATTGCACTCAAGGAACTGAAAAATAGTATATAAGATGGGCAAAAATAGAAGTAGGAATGGTGAAACACCGCTAAATTATTGAAGTTGTGATTCTTTCCGGTTTAATTATTTATCCCGTTCATTAGTATCACTTTCCTCCGGATAAGTTGTTTTCGTGTGCGTAGACGCAACTGTTATGCTCCTATGAAGGGGGGAGGAACGCATGTAGAAAACTAACAATAAATCCACTGTGAATATTAAGGATTTTTTGTGCTTTTCCTATTTTTACATTGCATTCGTATACTTTAGAGCGAAAGGAAATTTTGAGATAATCAACACAACGAAAATTAAAGTAATAATTTTTCAATACTGCGAGTTCACTTGCCGTATGCCAAATAATAATAATATTAATATACTTACGCTTATGTTTTGGATTTTGTCCTTCCTTCCACCAATTTTATCATATCATCTGTTAAGTATCGAACAAATAGTACACATACACCTAACTAAAAGAGCCTTGCATGGTATTCGCGTTACTTCAGCGGGGACCTTGCTAGCAATCTTTTGCCTGACTCATTATTTTAAGAACACGTCGAATCATTTTCGTACATTTCATAGAAAAGCATACATACAGAAAAAGTGAATAAATAAATAAATAAAACAAAGCTCTACATACCGTGCAGAAAAGTATCTTTCTTGTTTTCTAGAGCAGGTTTCAACCTCCATGCCAGCCATAGATCAGCCCTTACTGGTGAGCTTCAGTAGCCGAGTGGAGCTCACCATCCATGACGCCTTCCTCGCCTCCGCGGGGGTGTTGCAATGCAACCCCATCGCTCGCGTTTTCATCATGACGGTGAAAACCCTCCTCGACCCCACCACGAGCGCCGCCAACGCGGCCCTCATCGCCTCCCCAACCTCCCCGTTCCCCCACACTTTCCTCACGAATGATCGGAAACGACGAGGGGAAGGGCGAAATCCCTCGCGGGATCCAAATCGAGCCCTTTCGGAATCCTCCAAAGGGGGGGTTCGCGTGACGATTAACACGCGGGAGGTCGGCCGCACGGCGCCACGGCTTTTTACCTCTCACCCAACCTTTGAGGAGGTGATTTCGTTTGAGGTGGAGCCGGGGAGTGGTCTGACGAGCCTGGCGAGCCCCCCCCCTCGTGGGGAGATCAAAGGCGAACCCCAAACCATCGAGGATTACGTCGTGATCGTCCTTGAGGAGGCGGAGGAAATCGGAGGAAGGGGTCGGCGGTGTTTTGGCGTCGCCTATTGCCCGTTTTCGCCGCATTGTGAAAGTATCGGCGGTGCGGGGGATCACCCGGTGCGTGTGATGTTGCAACCCCGAAACGCCCACGACCCGGCGGATCCGCTTTTCCGCGACGACCTCCAGACCCTCGCGGCGCGGCATCTGGACGATTTCGGGTTCGTCACGATCCGTTGG